AATTTCCTTCCGGGATGTAACTCCTTTGGTCTCATTCCCATGTCTTCAACCTGAAACTCCAGGGTCACTGAGCCTCTTTCCTATGTCTTTTCATTTTAACAAAATAAAACCAATTTCTCTCAATTGGCCTCCTGAATGACATCTGGTAGCTTTCAAATACTCTTAGCCCTGTGACCCTTAACATTTTTCCCTTTCTCTAGCAATGGGGAATACACTCACTCCCAGGTGAGGCATTCTATCTACTTTTAGTAATTTTTAGGAATTTCTGAAACATGATGAACACATGCCAGTTTTGAAATTGCATGTAATTACATCTTCATGGAATAATTCCCTGCTTTTGCCCATTTAAACTAATTTTCTCATAAAAATAAAATATTTTAAAACTGTTTCTCATATAAAGTAATTTTATAGAGATGGTTTAGCAGTATTATTAGTTCCAGTTCACAGCTGGAAGGCTTAAGATTCCCTAGACAAAACTGGCAGCTCCCAAAAGCTCTAAGAAAAGCCAGAGGAGTATTGTGTGCTGTTCTGTATGCCATTCTGGGTTCCACAATTTAAAAAGGATGTTAACAATTTAAAAAGAGTGAGTCCAGAGGAGAGCCACAAAGCTGGTGGAAGGGCATGTCCTGTGAAGAGTGGCTGAGGACTCTGTGTCTGTCTAGTTTAGAGAAGGTGACTGAGGAGCAACGTCATTGCTCTCTACAGCTTTCTGAAGGGAGGAAGTAGACGCTGATCTCTTCTCCCTGGGATCCGGTTATAGAATGTGGGGGAATGGTTCAAAGCTGCATTAAAGGAGGTTCCGACTTGGTATTAGGAAGGATTCCTTTTCCAAGAGGGTGGCCAGACACTGGAACAGGCCACCGAGGGAGGCTGTCAATGCCCCAAGCCTGTCAGTGTTTCCAATGCCCTCAATAATAGACTAACTCTTGGTCAGCTCTGGAGTGGTCAGGCAGTTGGGACTAGATGACTGTTTTAGGTCCTTTCCAACTGGAACTATTCTAATCTATTCTATTTCTCAATTTTTTATGGGCTTGTTGAAGGAGCCTACTGAATTAACTCTTAGAAATTCCTTGGTGGGGACTATGATTTCTGAGGCATCTGCAGAGTGATATATTAATTACATGAACAACCTCTTTCATATCTGCTTTAATCTCATCTGTTTAACGCCTCACATAATTGTTTAGGTGAACTCACTCTTAAAATTACTTTAAAGCTTGTCTTATATCCATACTCCTCTATTCTCTATGGGGTTGCTATAAATTGCAGCAGGCCTGTGTCTCCTTTCCACATGTGAAATCATTTCTCTACTGAGGATTCACATGCCTGGGGGCTATTGGAAAAAAGTAAACAAAAGTGAAGTAGGGAGGAAGGAAGGGAGGAAAGAAAATGGTTTGCTGAGAGGTCAGGCTACTTGACATACTGGTTATACCATATATGCTTTTGTATCTTTCTACAGGAAACTCACGAAGGTGTTAACACTGCCAGAGGTAGCTGATGAGCACAGAAAATTCTTGAGAGCGGAGGCAGACTGCCAGGGCAGGGAATGTAATGCAAGAAATAAAAAATCTGTTTAGTTACTCGACTGCAAAGGGTACTAAGTCCTAAAGCCCCCTGTTTTCCTACTTGCTTGTCACCCTCTTCCTTTCATTCAGTCATTCTGGAAAAGTCCAAAGACAATTACAGCTTTATAGTTGTAGTGCTCAGGTATTCATCTGCTCTATGCTCTTTTGACTAAACTAGGAGCACGCAAGCCTGCAACTGCATCAGAAACTGAAGGAAACCAAGAACGTCTTCAACCCTCAGAGGAAAGAGGCTGAAATGTTAAATTGTGGTACCAGATACTGTCAGACAATTTCTATCACAAATTTCAGACAACTGTAGTCAGTATTCTCTTACTCCCAGCTATAATTATTTTGACAAAACAGTAGTTCTAATCCTTAAAAAGGAATGTGACACTATTCTCCTTCCACATGTATAGGTTCTGATTTCTTCAGACATAATAATCCCAAATTTAAAACACTAAAATAGAGCACTATACAATCAATAATTCACTGCAAAACGACAACCAGATCACATAAAAGCTTCAATTTACCTCCAAAGATTTTGTTCAAATTAACAAATGACTCTACTGAAGCATCATTCTTTTGAGAGGTACTGTAGATGTTCTTGCATAGAAACTAATCTTGAATGCCTTCCATTGGGGAATGTCTGGATAATGTAAGCAACTAAGTATCTTGCAGAAAATAGAGAAATAACATTAAAAATCAAAACCAAATAAAACCAGGAGAATATGCTACATGTTTTTAGAGTAGGGAAACAGACTCACTTAGCATTAATAGTAACAATGCATTAGCTCATATTTATTGCCTTTCGTAGAAAAAAAAAATTGTATCAACCAAGTAAATACAAATGCTTTTTTTTTTTTTTTTCTAGATTTGAGACCATTTAAGGAAAAATAACACTATTTGGAAATCAGTATTTCTATGTAAACACAACTAAACAGATAGTAATTATGTAGAAATTAAAGCCCTTCTCATTTGCTTCCATGGCAGTTTTGTATTTCTATTAAAAAGTACCTACAGCTTTAAAGCCAGCTTCTGTGCATTAGATTTAATAGAGTTAGTCTGCTACAAAACAGAATATGAAGATACAGCAACTTGGAATAATCCACATTTTTCCAAGAGAGTAGCCTAAAATAAAGCTTCAGGATATCATATTTAAAATGACAGTAATAAAGTATCTAGAGAGACATTACAACAGACAAATTTACTTGTATCACATAGAGCAAAAGTCAAACAGGATATTAAAAACACTTTCTGTAAAACTTATAGAATATTCAAACCCTTGCAAAATTAAAGATTTTTTTCTTTAGATTTCCCACTTGCCACCCTCCATCTTGACAACTTAGTATTTACACAATGAGCAGTTGGTGAGAATTGCAAGACAAAATTGAATGACGGCTCTTCTTAGACATATGCATCTGCTTTGGGCTGTCAGCTCTACAAAGAAGGCATTTGGATGGTGGGAACCAACTGCTGTAATTTGTGGAATGTTATTTTATACCTTCATCTTCTTCTTCACTTAGGTCTTCAGCACACTTTCCCTGGTAGACCGTGAGAATCTTCCTGAATTTGTCTCCTTTTCTTTTAAAAGGTGTCAGGGACTGTAGATCAGAAATTTTTCCTTCAGAAAATATTAGTTCACTGTAGCAGGCCTGGGAATAATTTATCCCTGCTACAGAGGATTTAAGAGTGATTTATTTATGTATCACTTCGGCAGAGAAATAGGAGTGCTGCTTAAAAAAGTTAAAAAAAAAAAGTTAAAGTGGATCACAATAATATCTTCTAAGGAGAAGAAAAAAAATTAATAGGGTCACTTCCAGCAGATGTAGGGGGAATAGAAGAAAGCCATTAGGACTTTATAAGGAGGCAATATAGGATTGGGCTGCTACCTATCTACATGGTACATCTACATGGACATTGCTTTTCCACTGAAATCTTTAGTCCAAAATACTTTGGGTTCTCCTATTCTTTACCAAGGACAGCAGGTCAACATTAAGGCAAGATTTCTGACTTTTCTCTATAAAGAAAATAGTCCATCAACAGTTTGGTGCAATTTTGTATGCCATTTAAACATTACATACTGTATCATGCCAGCTTCTTTAGAAGAGGAATAAGCAGGTCATGTTTTCTGCATGCAAGAGCAATCACAGTTGCCCAGTATCTGGAAACATGGGAATGTTATGAGGGTATCAGAAATTAACATTTCCCAAGGCATTTATTTTTCTTGGAAGCTTTTTCTTTCATCTCCATGGCAAAGTCTTTCCTGGTACACCATAACAGTGTTTCAGAGCCTCTGTATATATTTCAGCAAGTTCTGAATGCTGAATGACATTCCAGTGATTGAAGGCTGTCAGTGGAAAACTCATCAGTGGTAACTGAACAACAAATAAAAAATCATTGCTGTAAATGGGTGTACTATTGTTTGGAAAAAACCTCAATAGACAAATGAAAAATTCAGAGGGCAAATTAAAAAGATGAAAATTCTGCAACGACATTTTAAAAACAAAGGCTCATAAATGAGCCTTCCAAGGGGAAAAAACAACTTTCCAGGGAAAAGTTTACAAGAAAAGAAAGATTTTTCTGCATTTAAGGACACAAAAATGTTGCTTTTTTTTTTTTTTTTAAAAAAAAAGTGATAAATGAATCTCTCTGCTCAAGGAAAAAAAAAATCTAAAAGGTAGCATCTAGAATACCTAACTTGTATGTAGTCTTTTGTTATAACTTCAGATGTATATTTCTCATTTTCGTTAATATTTAGGTCTGGATTGTGATTCTAGAAATGTGTTTTGGCTGGACCATATTAAGTCTATTGCAGTTGAGTGTTCCTTCCTCCTTCCACAGGTCTGAAATAGTGGCATCTATCAATATTGCAGATAAGGAGATGAGAAAGCTTCAAATATGTCCTTTCTAAATACTGGGAAGCTTTGTTCTGCAAGAACTTCCTAGGGCCTGGCAGGTCACAAATGAGATCAGATGCAGCAGGTCCAAATTATCAGGAGGCCATGGTTGCTGCAATGGTTGCCAGTGTGCAACATGCGCTCCAGCTGCCTGGTGAGTACAAGAAAAGGTGGTTCTAGGAAACTGCAGTCATTGTTTCTGCCAGGTTCCTGAATCCCTTAAACTATGATGCAAAGGCTCTAAAACTGGATATTCCCAGAATCACTTTAGCACCACAGCAGTTCAGAAATAGACTTTTATCTTTGACCTGTTGCTGACCAGTAAGAATTAAAAAAAGGAGTGCGATACCAAGTAAGCCCAAATTCACTGAAGCCATGAATACAGCTCGTTTGTACACTGAAATAAACTTGGCTTAGAAAAGTGCCTCTAGCAGACCTTTCTGTGTCAGAACTGCAGCAGCAGAGGATGGCGTAACTTAAAGGGATACATAATGAGAGTTGTCATAGCAAAATTTTATGACAGATTAAAACATCCCCCATCTTTTGAGAAACTCATATTTTATTACCCAGTCTACCCCTCCACATCTTTGACAAAATACAAGGAATTCAACTTCTCCATAAGAGCAATTGTCACAATTAATGTAGTCTTCTTTACCCATCACCTTTATACCTTATTACTGCTGTTTTCCCCTTCCTCTCCTTGTAGATGTTTCAGAAAACAGAGTCTTTAAATAAATTTGTAGAATAAATAACCCTGCATGTGCCAACTACCTGTCTCTATTGTTTCTTGTTAAGTTACACTTTTTTTTTTTTTAAATTACGGTCAAAATAAAGAAAAACAGATTGAAAGATTTAGACGTGTTTTAGACAGTAATAAGCTTCAGGACAAAATGTCCTGCTAGCACTACTATGATGATACAGACAGAATAGCAAAGCATTGCTGTCTGGTGATGTTTGGAATGGGATTCAATTTGAGTTGCTGCAGATACCCAGCAGCACCTTGCTGAATATGGGGCAACTATTAAGCTGCATACACTACAAAATCATTTTCTGATCTCATTTTCACTACCTTTAAATTCAAATTATTCTTCCTATCTTCTTTCCAAGGCAACATAGGAAGCATTGGGTCATTCCATTCTTTCTTGGAAATTTTGGCAAATAGCAGTTAATAAGCTTGGAGGACATTAAAAATAAATGAGATCATCTATTTGGAAGGGGAAGGAGAATCTGCAATACTGTAATTAGTGATGCTTTCTATAAAACTGAATCATTAATAAATTAATTTTCCCTGTGATACCAAAAAGCATTGTTTTCAAACGACAGAATGTTTCCCCCATTCTTAGTGTCTGCTTTAGCTATGACAAAGATGGCTTATTACGCTGCTACAGCTTAAGGGATGGAAGGTGGTATTTGTCCTGGCACTACACAGTTTACATTTGCAGTAAAAATGATGTCTCAATCCCATCTGCCCATCAGAGAAACTCAAGAACAGAAACTCCAACCCTTGTATTTGCATTTTGGTCTGTAAAACATCAGCTACTAAAATATAAATGGGTAGGCCTATCTGTTCCCAGACAAAACACAGCCCACAAAACCGTCTGATAGCAAGCCATAGTCTACTAACAAGCGCCACAGGAAGTGCTATCTCTGCAAGTACTATCTCAGGACAGAATAAAGCTGAGTATGTAGGAGCTAACAGAGAAAACCTCTAACTCTACCCATGCTTCCTACTCTTGCAGTAGTTTTGTGGGAAGAAAAGAGGGAGGAACAAAAAGTTGTTTCATGAGGAAGATGAAAATGACCGCCACTGTATCCCTCTCAACAACCTCCATTAATAAAGAGACAGATCTATAGAAACACTCAGGAATGTCACAGTTCTTTCTCACCCTTGCATCAGTCCCTTTGAAACTGTGGTGACTGAAGCACCAGATTCCAAAGCCCTGCACTCCTCAGCTGCAGCACTGCCCATGCTCAACCCAAGGCTTGCTGACAGAAGCCCCAAACTGTCACACAGGGACTCACAACGTGGTCACTTGTTGGGCTGCCACCACCAACCAGCACAAGCAGATGCATCCCATAGAAGAGTGCAAGGGCCTGTGCCTGGCACAGAGAAGGGAGGATCAGCACCACGACTCCACTAACAAACTAAAGCTCAGCTGCAGCCACTGCAGTGCTACACCAAACTAGTAGTGCTTAATGCAATCTTTTTGATACCAAAGGTAAAGAAATTACTGGTGTAACAGGAATGAACATCATTCTGAACAGGCTTCCTTCTGAAAGGATTCTCTTGAAAACCACATAGAAAAGACAGACAAAACAGAAGCAAAGGCCAGTTAGTCAGACACTGAAAGGAAGGAATGGGCCCTCTATCATCTTCCTTTTGTTAGAGAAGACTTTAAAATTACTTAAACTACCACTGACATTTCCTGATTCTGGCCATCACAAGTTTGTTAGGAAGTTAACAGACAAATCAAAACCTTTTGTTATTTCAGCAAGAGCAACTACTACGAGTGAAGCCATGCTTTACATCTGATGAGTAACTTCTTAATAGGGAGCTCTGGCACATGAATAAAAAATAAAGAAAAATCAAAACTCAAATTTAGTAAAGCATACAGTGGAATATGCTATATGTTTAACAACTCTTTCTTCAAATATTGTAGTCTGTTAAATACCAGTTCTTGATGGAATGGAATTGCTCAGTATTTTAACTTCATTATGTTTTAGTGCTTTGCATCTGAAACCAAGGACTCCAGGTGAACTAAATTTATGTGAAGTTTGTTGTTGGGTTTGAAAGTGATTTCATTAGTATTTCAGAAATATTTTATGCTGGAAAATAGTGTCTAGTCACAGAAAACACCACTTATTAGTGACAAAGGATTTTAGACATCATACATTATCAGTGTCGCAAATGTTCTTCAGTTATATTCAAAGCAACATACAACATAAAAGTTGTCTTCAATGGAACTTACAAACTACACAGGTCTTTTGCATCAAATAAAAAAATCACTTTTTGCATACTGTTGTTTTCTTAAAGAGTCAGCATAGAAAAACTTCAGAACTTCTGCAAGCCTCACATTACTTTATCCTACCACACACATGAGAAGCAGCATGGAAACAAGAATTGCAAGGTAAAGGGTTCATACCTGCATGTAGAATCTACAGGCTCTTGAAGGGTACACAGCTTAGTAAAATATCACTACTCGGAAAGCATTCAGCTCTATTTGCTTTCAAACAAAGAGATCTGTAGAAGCTGGTTGTGTGTCTAATCATGGAAAAAGTCTAGACAGAACAGGTAGGAAGCTCAAGCCACTATTATAATAGGAAGGATTAAACTGCTGCAGAAATTTAAAACATACATTGCTCAACAGTGCTTATTTACAAGGTTGTCATTCAAAGGTCATTGACCATTAAAATTAAGTTTATTTCATAAACCATACCTTTCACAGGTCTTAATCCTATGAACACTGACAATCTTGTCAACACACTGCCATATTAAGAACACACAACCTTTTATATCAACTTTATACTGTTTTATGTTCAACTGCCGTGAGAAGCATTGCTCACATGACGACTTTATGAGCTTCAAAAAATTAAAGTACATTTGGTTAAAACATAGATTTAATTCCTAAACCTAACATGTGAAACAGTTCCTAAGGAACAAACATCGTGATGCAGAGCTATTATCTAGAAAAATCTTAACAGTTTTTCAGGACTCAGCAAACAAATAATAGGGCGATTAGCATATTTCATGATGTTAAAATTTAGCTAAGAAATGTTCTTAGCTAAATTTTCTAAGTCATGTTCTTCAGCATCAAATATTTCCCATGTTTCTGCATCTTATGAAAACAAGAAGCTATGGGATTGTAAGAAAGGCTAATTTAATGTTTTATAGAGACTTTGTTATCAAGAACATTAGTAACTAGAAGATCTCCAAATCGTAAACGTTATCAATTTCAATAATCTCTTCGGATTCCATCTTTGCTTCATGATGCCCCTCCTGTAGGTCATCCAGGGATGCCAGAGCCTCATTTGTATCACTAGCAAAAGTCTCACGAGATGCATCATCATATTCTTGCAGGTTAAGCCCTTTAATGGCTTTTTTCATCTTCTTTCCTAGAACTTGTATTCTCCTCTTCTTAGCAGCTTTTTTGTTTTCATACTCCTTTTGGTTTTCCAGATAGAATATTTCCTTGAAATAAAAAAAAAAAAGTTTGGTGTATTCATTTTACTAGTGTTTCCTAAAGAAAACATACAGTATAGATTTTTTAAAAATTACAAATACTGTTCAATAAAATTTAACTAAGATACACATTATTGATAGCAGAATTATGAGAAAAGACTGCACTTAAGGAAAATCTCCAGAAATAATTTTATTACATCATTTCTCAGCAATCTCAAAGCGTATGTAAAGAAGCATCACTAAGTTTTCATTTCAAGTTTGCTGATGATACAAAACTGGGAAGAATAGGTGGTAGACCAGAGGGACCTGCAGAGAAAATATGACCAAAGGTTCTATGACAACTTGAGAAAACTCTCCTCCAGAATTGAAATTTGAGTTCAGGTCTCATGATCTTTACTGTCAAACGTCTGTAAGCACCATTAACATCTACAATTTATGACTGTTACAAGTTTCCTCCATATTTCAAGGGGGAGAGTGATGCTACATGTCTTTCTTTCCCTGCTTATTTTTTAAAAAACATAAATTGCATACTGAAAACATTAATGCTTTTTTTATCCCCAAAACCTGCAAGTGCTAAGGGTATGCAAATACGTGAGAGCTGTATACACAACCACCTCTATGATGACAGGATTGCACATACTTTTCCCACATGTTTGTATGAGAAAACAATATCTTGTACCATCAATCAAGTTCACTGAGTGAAAATTGCTGCCTCATTAAACACTTGTCAGTGTCAGCAAGAGAACAAGACAATTACAAGGGCATGGAAGAGGGGTAGAAGAGCAATTTATTTTTTTTTAAGATGGGTAGAAGATTTTTTTTTTTTATTATGGGGGCTAAGTGATCAAACTTGCAACTTTTTGTGAGCACTGAAAGGTTTTTTTTCTTTTTTTATTCAACGTAAAACAGACAATCACAGCTGTTGATTTGTTTCTCAATTTCCAGTACAAGATGCTAGGATGGTTTACAGAGCAAGCTGTAGTCACCTGTAATCAAAATAAAGGAGTCTTTCTTTTAACCAACAAAAATTTAAAAGTGGCAAATACCGTGAAAAAAACCAAGCTGTTTTAACTGAATGAGGAAAACACCATCTCAGTCTATTTCATACAATAAAAGGAAAGGCAGTAATATTTACAAGCTGACAAAACTAATTTGGTGAGCACCACAGATGAGACCAGTGAGCAATCCAGATTAGGTTCAGAATAGTATCGGACTTAATGGGAAATACTGTCTGGTGCTACAGCTGGAGCTGTATAGGACAAGAATACTCTATTAAGAGAATACCATTCAATCTATGCACAATGATGCAGTGGTCTAAAGAGAGAAATAAAACTGCATATAACATTGTTGTAAGGTATATAAAAATTAAAATCCAGTGTTTATTTCTTCAGACTCTACAGTGTCATCACCCTCAACAGGTTTTTGTGACTGGCAATACATAAAAGGTGTTCTCTCTGCCTGGTGTGAATGACAATTCATCTTTTTGCTTGTATTCTGAATGTGAAACAGCGGTTTCTTTGGAATGTAGAGTTAAACTTGCTAGAATTTATAAGAGAGATTCAATCATAATACAAAAATGTACTTTGGACAATCATTTGCACTCTTGACAATTTTACCTTGATTTGTTGTTCTTTGATGCTAGGTGTGTTCTTCAGCAGGTTTAAATAAACGCCCCCTGGTGTTCTTCTCCTAGTGCCGTTCTTAACAGTGACAGAGTAAATCAGTAATAGCAAGCTTTTTATGTAAGTGCTGATACAAAAGTAACATCTAAGACAATGCTTTGTACTGAGACAGAATAAAAAACCCCACTAAATTTTGCTGTGTTACATATTACGTAAAACCAACCCTGGCTATGTTTTATTTGTGACTGAGCTATAAGAATGTCAATAATCAGCTTTCTACATTTGGACAAGTAAGCTACCAGGTTACAAAAAATTTGCTTTAGAATACAACACCAAACTTTTCAACTACATACAAAATCTGATGTTGGTAGTGAAGAAACAAAACGCTAATAGTATTCTAACTACTTTCCTAACTATCTGCAATGATGTATATATACTAGGTTAAATATTCATAACGTTCCTATTACATAATCCCAGTAAAATGTCAAAAATTAATTCTATAAAATTATGTAGAACTCGGGTTTTAATTGTGCCCAGCAATTCTACAAGTCATCTGCATACCTGCAGGATTCTGCACTTGTGCTGAAGGCATATGAAACACAACATGTACTTTAAAGTTTTTCCCCACAACATACTAGTTCCATGCTTCAACAGTTTTCAGTGTAACAGCAGTGGTGCAATGTGTCATACTGAAGCATGAATGGACTCAGCTATGAAACCTCCGTAAATTGTAAGCTCTAATTATCATACTATTAGTCAATTACCACTCATAGTATATAAAGTTGAACTGTTACTCTGTTACTCCAGTGCTCTGATATCATATTAAGCGTAACACTTTTCTGCTAAATAACAAAGTAAAATACAATACAAAAGTTCCAAGAACAGATAAGGTCAATTTTTAAGTATGTTCTTGAAACAGCAGATGTCACATTCTTTTGTCATTCTATCAGCACAAAATCCCAACCAAGATAAACAGTATGTCTGACGTAGTCTGATCTACAGCCAAAGGAACCTGTGACACCAGCTGTGGCAGGTGCACCCACCTAGCTTCCTGGCTGGTGAAATATAGTGGACATTGATTTTTATTTTTTTTTCATGCCCTTGTTCTCAGGGTTTTATGGTAACTGGGGCCCTCAGCCAGTAAGGGCTGATAATAGATCAGATTGGGCTTGGGTATAAATGGAGGGGACCTGTGGGAGCCATTTTGAGTTTGTTCCCTCTGAAGCAGCATGCTGTGGTCAAAGACTCTCCTCTTGGGTTGGGATGCTGCCCAAGGAACTTCCTTGAGGGTTCCCCCTTGGGCCACATCCTGACCCAAAGAAATTCCTCAAGGTTGAGAGCCTTCACTTTTTAGGTGAGTGACCAAGCATTTTGGATTGTCCTTAAATCCTAGAAAGTTGTGTCTTTTTTTGGGGGTGGTGGCATTTTTTCTTTCTTCATGCTTTTCATGTTATTTTTGTTGTGTTTGTCGGGGTTTTTTTTCCTTTTTCCCTCCTCTCTACTTCCAGTGATGGAACTTAAATTATAACTACATGCCTGAAAGTTATTAGCTCCCTCTCACTTTTTTTCTTCTGAACTTTTGCACTGAGGCTCACTATTTAATAAAAACAAAAAGATACTTAAAAATTGATAACCTAATCGTTAAGTACAGGATTTTTATCACACTGTTTAACAGAAATCAGCACCTGGTTTTTGCTCTACTGACACACAAGCCAACGGTTCTCTAATAAAGGTAACAGATCCCCCTTTTCAAGGTTACTCTTCAAATGTGGTATTAGAAATGCTCACTATAGTGTGTTCACCTCTGATGGTATGCTGATTAACCCAGTAGAGGTCAGTGCTGTCAAACATCCACATAATTTACTGAAGCAACAGTGCCAGAGGCTTCAACTGGATCCAAACATTACAAGCTGTTAATCAAGCTTCAGAATCTTTCAGGCTCAATCTAGGGAAAAGATCCTAAGGGATGGCACAGTAAGAGATACAACGTTATCACTGCAAATCAGATACTAATCTCAGTACAAAAAGTTGGGCAATTTCCAGGTTCATTCATCTCATTGTTTACTCAAACTGGAAGATTAAGTTACTATTTATTAAAGGAACTTCATGGCAAGGGAAAGCCATGACACTCTGGTAGAACCTGTTCAATGTGAAAAGCATGAGATAGTACTAGGTAAATATTCTACAAGTTTTGTGTGTACCCCCATAAACCCACAATAACACATTTTTCTTACCACTATGAACAGTCCACCATTCTGTTCCACTTCAGCTGTTTCCATAAGCAGTTCGATAGCTTTTCTTTTCCCAATTATTTTCACTACTCGGGCAATTAAATCTTTCTTTGGCTCACAAAGCCTGAGGGGAGAGGAAAACAAAAAGACATCTATTTCAGTGTAATTTCTTGAGTAGAATTGACCATGGAACTTCCAGTTCTCAGTAGCTTCTTGTTTGTGATTAATTATTATATTTCAGCATCTGGCAATACTATGTATCACATGTAAGAAACCAACAATGATCAGTAAACCCAAGTTTTATTTAAATGTCAAGGTAACCATCAGTAAATCTCGTAACTCTTGTTGCTTATTTAACATCATTTGCTTCACTTGCTTCACTTGCACCACTGAAGGACTGTGGCAGTTTAGGTCAATCTAAGTAACAATGACTGCCATCACATACCCTTCCTCACATCATCAGTCCAGCAAATTGTTTCAGGAGATAAACCTGTCTGCAAACTAACTCTTTAAAAAAAGCAACAGGCTTTTGGAGAGGTAAGCTTTCTCACTCGGCTCAGTGTACAATAACTAAATAACAGGACTGTGAAAAGAATTCTATGGTGTTAAGTGCGCAGATGACTGGAGCTTGGTAAATCAAACACTGGCTTCCATAAATTAGTACACAACTGTAGCTCAGTTCCACAACACAGAAAGATGCACTGATTTCAGTGCTGGCGTCTAACCTTGACACAGCCCTTAGTTACAACAGCAGCAAAATGTTTTCTTCAGACAAGCATGTTCCACATCAAGAATATTTCAGAAGCTGTGCTCTCCAGAACACTACACAGTCTGAGTAATCTGCAGAGTTTCAAGGCTTTATGACTTAGCCAGATTTTCACAGTGACCATTGGTGTCCAACTCCAAATATGAATCTTTACTCATGGGATATTTCCTAAAAAAGCTACTACTAAATCTGTATTATGAGAAACAGTATTTTTCCTTGCCACTGTTCTCAAATAACAAACCATCTTGGTGGATCTTAAAAAAAAAAAACCCCAACCAGTATTACTTCTACAAGATACCAGCCATAATGCTGCATTTTAATCCCAGGGTTTTGGAAACACACAAGGTGCTCATGCTTTCTGTAATCTGGTATGACATTTTACGTATTTAGCAGTAGGAAAGCTTCCCTTCCCCTTCTTTTCCATCCACAGTTTACCAACACTTAAGAAATTAAGATATGCTGTTATTAAACTCACCGATAAGCAATTTCACTTGCCACTTTTTCCTCTGAATCTTCTTCTGTTATCTCATACCTTCCTTTATATTTCATTTCTTGTCTTTCACCCAGTCTATCTTTTACAGGCCGCTTCCGCTTGAGAAAGCCTTGCCCATTTTCTTCTTCTGCTGGCAATGGTTTCTTGTCATCATGCATATATTCATCCAGTTCTTTATCTAAAGTCTCTGCCTCCTTTTGCTGAGCTTCCTTTATCAGCTTTTTAGCCAACAGATAATTGTAAGTCTCAGACTGCCTGCTTCTGTCGATACTACCATCCATGCCTAGAATCCCAAGTTCAGTAGCCACTGCATCCTGACTCTGCTCCTGAAGCACCACACCCCAAATGTTGTTAACCTTCTTGCCACCTAGAGCAGCTTGCTTTTGGTGGCTTTGGCTAAGCTGAAAAGGCTCAGATTTAGTAGGAGGAAAGTTGAAACACTTCTGTCGTTTTCGTTTCCACAGGCAGTTGTCATCATCAGATTCAGAAAAGCTTTCATCACTTGAATCCACACTTTTGGTTGTCCGATAAGGAACACTTGGTGCACATGATGAAATGCTGCTCTGGAATGGTCTGCCTGAATCACTGCCGTCATGCGATTTCTGAAATGAAAAATGTGTGTCTGTTAATTACTCTTGCAAATTAAAAGAGCTATCAAGTGACATGAAAGATTTGACTGGCTAGTAAACTTAATTCTGACTCCTGTGACTGACTGGGCAGTCCTTCCTTAGCACTGTTTGGACAACAGTTGACAGAAACATCCCATGAAACTTCTCTATTTCGAATGCCTGTACACGAAAGACAGCATGGCTGCTATAGAAAACACACACCAGGAGTCTCTAAGTCTACTTCACATTATCTTTGTTGAATTAAAATTATTACAAGGCTGGCAAAGCTATTCAAAATTTCAAAACCAGACTAAGACACAACATGCACAGCAGTTCTAAGAAAGATAAAAAACCCCAATCCACCATAGCAACTTACCAGAATTTTTTTTAACAGCATAGAGATTCATATTCTCTCCAGAGTCTGAAAAGGGTGAAGACTAGTGATCTGCAACCACAATAGTGTTCCCAGACTCAAGTGAGAAGAAGGAAGTGACCGAAAAACCCGAAGCCAAACTCACAAAATTTGCATGCTGTTCAAACTTTGAGAAGCTAACAGTGTATTGTGATTCTGATTCAATCAGGACAGCACATAACTAGCTGGGGACAGTAGCACCTTAGAGAAGAAGGTACCTTCCTTTAAACCAACAAGACACCACACACTCACTAGAGCTTCTTATGAATTAGGGAAAAAAACTGTAAAGATTTCAACATACTTTACAAAAAAAATCCCATTGCTATAAAAATATTCAAGAAATGCTGTTTCCCTATACACCTCACAGATAAACCAAAATATGAAAGCCAGACCTGCTCAAATCTGCCTAACTGCATAAACACCATAATTTTTAATCCCAATTGTTGGAAATTTTTGGCTGCTCTGTGCCAATATGCAGAAAACGCTTTCTTTACTCAGAATTTCAGTTTTCCCTCGCGGATTTCTTATCATAAAGTTATACACTGTCCGATGATCTTTTCCTTCAGTTTCATGTGAAATAAATATTCTCTCTTTAACCTTACTCTTTCACCAATATTATGTCACCATTTCTTCTTCCTCCTATTAGCAAACAGAGATCTTCAACTTATTTTATCATGTTATGAAATACAAACTTTGAATTTAAAATGTATTCCATAATGCAAAACACTAACAACTCCATAAATTAAAAAATCCCACGTCTGTAATAATTTTTGTGCTACATCCCAGAATTACATTGCAAATAAATCAAAATAGCTGACGAAAATAAAAATCCTTATATATACAGTTTTATACTCTGATTCATCTCTGCTCATACATCATCATAAATTCCTCACAAACTTCATAACGCACTCTAACGTGAAAATAATATGACACTTGGAAATAAATAACGTATCTTCAGCAATTCACGGATACGAGTCGGTGAAGACAAGGAAAAGCTGTTTATACAACTGCCTATTTGTATTGTTCTTGAAGCGACCGGCGGTATAGGTGAGCGCTCTCCTTTGCTCACCTAACCCAGTGCCCTGCAACAACAAAAGCCTCCCCCACTCCGCGGCAGCGTGTGGTTTTCCCAAATGAACGGGCCCCGGAGAAACAAGACGGTTCCCGGGCCCAGGGCGAGCGCTGACTCTTGGAGAAGGGTCCCCACTCCCACAGGCACCGAGCACGGCCCCGGCTCAGCCGTCCGCGCTGTCCAGCGGGCCCGTCCTGCGCCTCTCGCCCGCCGGCCAGGAGCGGGGCCCCATGGGCGGCAGCAGGGCCCCTGCGGCCTCCT